CTAAGTTGGCTAAGACATGGTACAATACATTTTTAAAGGCTAAGTTGGCTAAGACATGGGACAATACATTTTTAAAGGCTATGTTGGCTTAAGACTTGGCACAATGCATTTTTAAAGGCTAAGTTGGTTAAGACATGGTACAATACATTTTTAAAGGTTATGTTGGCTAAGACATGGTACAATACATTTTTAAAGGCTATGTTGGCTTAAGACTTGGCACAATGCATTTTTAAAGGCTAAGTTGGTTAAGACATGGTACAATACATTTTTAAAGGTTATGTTGGCTAAGACATGGTACAATACATTTTTAAAGGTTATGTTGGCTTAAGACTTGACGCAATACATTTTTAAAGGCTATTGGCTTAAGACTTGACACAATGCATTTGTAAAGGCTAAGTTGGCTAAGACATGGTACAATACATTTTTAAAGAACATATGTCCAACTAGTTAGAAAAACATACTAAAGATATTGACAAGCTAAAATATAAATTTAGAACCTCCAGTCTAAATTTGGTAGATGTAATTTTGATCCAGTTTCTTGTATGTTGTCACAAACCTATTTGATAAATAATATAGCACAAATGTAAAGTATTGGTTTACTGTCAACAATACTATGTTAAGCTGGAATCGCACATTATGAGGAACAAACCTTCTGTTAGAATACAGTAATATATCAGTATGCATATATTCCATAAAAATAGTTTTGGTATAACAAATTTTGGATTTTTTGTCATTATTTTACACAGAAAGCTAAAAGTAATGTAAAATCATAAATGTATACATTGTAATAAATAGATTTATTGATCTACAGTATGATAGGAATAAGAACGAATATATAATAAGATATGGATTCTTAAGCGTTGCACATCAAGATGGTCTTATATTGTTTGTTAACATTCATCTCGGCTGTCAGGTATTAAATGATTCTTTACAGTAGCAAAACAGTCCAAACTTCATTCCTTCTTCTAAAAATGCTGTTCCTTTTCTCCAGTGGAGAAAGGAGAGCCTCACTCTTGAATGTTGCCCTTCCCACTACTAACTCCACATCCCTTTTCCCACTAAAGCCATGAACGGAGCTGCGGTGATAGTCACTATGTTGTTTAATTTACGTCTGTTTTTTATTTTAATACAGTACAGTATAAAATAAATAATGTATGATATTATTTTCAAATAAATTGTATTTGTTTACCATATGAATGGTAAGTTACAAAGGCTGGGAACGCATCCTCACATTAATAATGTTATAAGTTATTCAATATATGAAGTTTCAATATACGAATGAAGTCTCCAGGAACGCATGTACTTTGTATGTTGAGGTATTACTGTATATCATAATACATCTTAAAACCAAGGAAATAATTTTTTGTTTTATTTAAAACATACAACATTTACTTCAAAGTGACTTTTTGAAACAGCATGAAGACATTGCTTTTTATCATTTTATTTACACAGTGATGGTTCATATCAGTTGCAAGTTCATGTTAACTGTTTAGAAAACAAAATTAAACAGTTGTAAAAAGATTTGTTGTGGTTATAAAAACTTGTTTTTGCCATACCATTGCCTTTTACTTTAGCTTTAGAAAGTTCAATGAACATATTAATAATTGCATTGAGTAACCTCATTAATTCTTGTACTAGAAATATATAGTAATTAATTGTTTTTTGATAGTTTAGTTTATTGGATGGGACAGTCTAGATGGTTTTGGTAGATAGTATAGTTTCTTACTGGGAAAAAGTGAAAAGATTACTTTGTTAAATTTTATAGCAATGTAGATTGTCAAAGTACATTACCATTGAGAAATGTATTTATTTTTATAGAATATTTCCAAAGAAAAATTCAAGCGACTCTTTGAAGGGCTGAAAACCAACACAAACTTAGAAATATTAAGCTTGGCAAACACTGAACTTACTGATGGTCCTGTAGAGGTAAGATTATTTTTCTGAAACATCTTTGGATTCCTTGTAACACCACTGGTCTTTTTCTGTAATATTGTATGCATACAAGTTTTGTTTTTGCTGTTCCTCTAGGTGTAAATTCATGTGGTTCAAGTTATCTTCTTAATAACTGTAGAAGTTGTTAGGGACTTCTAACAAGCCTAGTTATCTTAGCATGTGATGTAGTAATTTTTTAAAGTAACCTCCAGTTACTATTGTAATATTACCTTTGTCACTGAAGGAAGTATTGTCTTGCTTTTTTTTCTTATAAAAATTCATCCTTATAAAATTATAGTGTACAAATGGATGCCTCCATAGAAGGTGCGTTTGTTTCTTACTAACACTACCATTAATTTTCAAGACTTTTTCATTTTTGCAGTTTTTTGTACGTTAATCTCGTTATGATGCAAAGTTTCTTTGCTTTGATGTTACCCTTACGAAAGGAAAGCCAAATTAGCAATGTTGATCCCTTGATAAAAAGTTTTTAAATTTATCTCTGGTATTTTATGACCTTGAATGTTCACTTTGTATAATGTAATTTTAAATCCAGTGTCTTCTATTTCCAGATTGTTTTTTTTTTGCTTTAACTTTTTTATGCTTTATTGTAGTTTTTATTTAAAAACCATAGTATTCCTGATTTATATGTCCATTTGTTTTAATATAAATATTTTGTTCTTTTAACTATATTTTTATCTACTGTGTACTCGTTTTTTTCTTTTTCTGTATATTTGATTTGTTAGACTATGAGAGAATAAACAAAGATGAATAAATCATGGAGTAGGATCTTATATGTTCAAAGCTCTTATATAGAAACACAAAAAATTATTAAATTTGTTGTGATGGGAAAAAATTAATGTGGCTTGTATTTTGGCCAGACAATTTTTATCTCTATTACGGTGATTTTAATCATATCTCTGTAATTTCAGATTTTTCCTACTTTGTTCATTATTCAAACTTCTTTATGAACTGTGTGGTTAAAGCAAATAATTATTTTTCTCATTAACAGTGTCAGACTAAATACCATTTTTTATATTAAAGATTACTATCTTTTCTTTCTCAGTGCGGCCCGGCATGGTCAGGTGGTTAGATTGCTCGACTCACAATCTGAGGGTCGTGGGTTCAAATCCCCATCCCACCAAAC